ACACCAGGAAATGTAGACACAAAGGACATGTAGAGGAAACATTGCTTACACACACATCTGTTAAAATGTTGGTTTTAGCGTGTTAAGACATTGCTTTGTTACATAATCACATTTTCTGTTCCTCAGCAGGCATTTCCGTTATCTAACTTATTTGGTTTTCACGCACCCACTTGCTTCATCACTCTAAGCACAAGGAAGTTGTGGCCTTTTGACCGCTTGGTCTAGTGGTAGACATTATTACATTACAAACTGTTATTTTCCTCTGCTACATTACATGGTAGTGCAATGCTTTTCTAGCAGGTTTGTGCTGATAAACCTGATTGATACAGCAGTGACATCTAGTGGCGAGAAGGAGAACAGTTCAGCTAATATTTCTGCAAAAAAAGCATTCGTGCCACTTCTGAACTTTTGAGGCCCCTTTAGTGGCCCTTTAAGCTGTTGAAGATAATTCACCCTCTTCTCTAGAGTTGATACTGTTCGGTTTGATTTGTGTTTAACCTGCTTGTGTTTTTTTTTTTTCATGATTGGCAGATTCTCCCAAGCGGTTCTGGTGGTACCACTGGTTTTGCTGGGCGTTGAGTGCTGTGGGGATTTTCTGCATCCTTCTGGCACATGACCACTACACTGTGGATGTGGTGGTTGCATATTTTATCACTACACGCCTCTTTTGGTGGTACCACACTATGGCCAACCAGCAGGTGAGTGCTGAGCCATATGCTGCACAAGTTGTTCCCTAACTTTTATTTTCATTCAGAATCCAGTTGAGTAAATAAAGTAAATAGACACAAACTTTATGCAGTACATTTTCTCACTAGTCTTCATGTTGTTTTTTTTTACTTTCTAATAAACTGGAACCTGTGTTTCAGTGCTTAGGCGACAAAGGCAATCTGGAATAATGAATTCTTAAAATTGTATGTTTTGTAGTTGGCAGTAAAGAATATAATGTATTATTAACAAAGGTTTAGGCAACATGATGAAATATATCATTGTCATCATACTTTTTATACAGAAGCAGCTAAACCTGTAAAGAGCCAGTGTGTAGGATATAGTAGCATCTAGCTGTAAAGTTGCAGATACCAGTCAGCTCAGCCTTCTAAGCGTGTCGGAGAAACTACAGTGTCCCTATCTAGAGCCAGTGTTTGTTTTGTCCGTTCTGGGCTACTGTAGAAACATGCTAGTTCGACATGGCAGCCTCCGTAAAAGAGGACCCGCCCTCTCTCCTAGATAAAAACGCTTCATTCTAAGGGAACAAAAACGCAACAGCTGTTATTTTCATGTGATTTATACACATAATATTCCATTTCTGCCAATAGATCCTCCTAAATGTTGCACACTGGGCCTTTTTAAAGGAAATAGTTCTATATTTTGGGAAATATGCTTATTCAAAAAGTACAGTTGACACAATGTGAATTGCTCAAACCATAAATGAACGGATGAGGAAATTTGCGTTGGATATTTGATGACCCCAATAACCATAACCGTATATGTCTTCTGTTTCAGTCGCTGAAGGAAACGTCACAGAGTAACCCTTTCTCACGGGTGTGGTGGTACAGACTGTTCCAATACTTTGAAGCGAATGTCAACGGCACGGTCCCTCGGAACTATCAGCTGCCGTTGTCATGGCGAGCGCTGCAGTGGAGCCGCGCTGTGAAGTACAGCAAATTGGACAACCAGTGACCCTTATCATGTCGAAGCAGGCGAGGACTATGACTTCCATAAGTGCTGTTTTACCCAAGGAATATGGCACTGTTAAATGTAGCGCGCTGTCCTTTCACCTGTAGTAACAGACACATCCCTGTCCAAATGGGTAGCACTGTGACCCACCTAGTCATTTCTTTTGTTTGTTTGTTTGTGTGTGTGTGTGTACACATAGACACACACATACACACGTTATTTTTGTTTTCTGTCATCCATTTTCTCTTCTGGTAGTATTTGTCAACTCAGAGCACTAATTTATATTTGTTTTGTGTCTTTTTCCTCTTTGTGGGCCACATAACATTTTCTGCTTTTGTAGCAGATCTATGAAGCATTTCGACAAACTTTTAAAACTCATTCTGGTTTTTGACCATAAGGACTCAAATAATTGTTTTCCTCTCGCACAAAATCCTAGTTAATGTCTTCATGTTCTTACAAGATTTTTTAGTGCAGATGGTGTCAGTCAAATTTGATAACCAAAATGCCATAAGCATTTTTTTTTTGTTTTTGTTTTTTATAGCAAATTACTTTTTGTAAACAGTCCTTGCTAAAATGAGTCAAAGGTGCAAAAAAATAATTTTTTTAAGTATGTCAAACTTTATTTTTCAAAAACAAATGATGTCCAAGAAAAGATTTTTTAGATTTTTACCTTTTTCAAGATGGATAACTGAGAGCATAAGAATCTAATGTGGTATAACATTATTCCAGTGCCTTTCTTAGCTTGATTGTAAAACAGTTCAAGTACTATGTGTCTTGTGTCTCTGTGCCGCAGGTGTGACCACACCGTGGTACGAGGTGGTACTTAGTTAACAGTTTCGTTCCCATGAATGTAAAAACAACTACGCCAGCCTTACCAGAAAATTGGTTTTCCCAAAATTAGTCAGTGAAATGTCCCATTTATTTATTGATGCTTTATGATGTCAGTTTGTGTTTAGTTGGTTAATGCTGTTCTAGAATAAAAGAATGACTGTTAATTGTATTTTTTTTATGTCTGTAACATTTCATTTTTACCAGTCTTTAACCAACACCAGCCATGTTCAAAGCCCGACCATTGATGCTCAGTCACCTGTGGACACCCTCACATCTGCTAGCTTTACTTTCCACCACATCAGTATCTGCTAAGTGTCACTGCCTGATTGGAAATTGCCGAATAAATTTCTCCGAGGTGCAGAGTTAAGTTATTCTGGACCTCACACTCGTGTGCATCATCGCTGCATCTCTTTGCTCAGGAGATAATGAGCCCCTCTCTTGTTCCCCACATGGAGTCCCATTTCGAAATCAGAATGATCCTCATTCCTTGTCTTGTCTTGTAATTATTTTGATGAGATCTGGAGGTAAATGTTCAATGTAACACCTGTGTTGAGGTTAGGGAATGTCAAAGTAGTCAAATCAGAAGCTTTTGGCAGAGTTTCTGAGCATGTCTGTGATGGATCTGTACTTGTTTTTGTATGAATTTTCTTGAACTAAATCAAGCTGCTACTTTACAGTTTGAAGACAGCGTATCTTCTACATTGCCTCCTTCAGTGAAACGCCACAACAATTATTTTTACCATAAGTAGCTCAACATGGGACTTGCGTGCGGGGAACTGAAAGCTGAAGCATGGTGCACAGAGCTGATATATTTGGGCTTATGTGTGCAAACAGGATACCATTGATTTCCATGAATGTGAAATGCGTCCTTATTGATGATCCTAATCATGTACATGTTGACTTTTTTTTTTATTTTCTTTGCTTTTCTTTGTGTAACTATGACTAAACTGTAAAGAATTAAGTATTGCACAAGTTCATCTATAGGGAAAGATTTAACTCATTATGTGAAACTTTAATTTCAAATTAAACTGATTAGTTTTGATGAAGAGAAGCTGCACTAAACATTAGATTATACAATTTTCAAATAAATAATGATGTGATTTAATTTCTTTCAACAATGTCAGAAGGAGGAGGTGAGAAAATAACATTATTTTCAATGTGAGCTTATGATACCTTTCAATGCCAACTAGAGTCTTGATGTTTAAGGACTAATTACAGCACAGGCTTACCCTCCTCCCTGTAGCATTGTCCAATCATTTCACTTTTACAGAGAATGTTCTCCGCAGGTTCCTCACATACGGCCATATTTTCATTTGAGATAATGTTTGAATTAATGGTCCAAACGTAGCCCCCTGATAATGTTTGAGGGCTTCGATAGGAATAAAGGTTGGAGATGTTTGTCTTCTAGTTTGCCAATCAAGTTGGATTTTCTTTTTGTCTCTTAAGAAATGAAAGTTGGTTCTCCTGTTTGTTTTCTCTGTAAACTTCCCACCCACTTTGTCCCTTTTTTTTTTTTTGTGTGTGTATACCAGGTGTTGAGATATGATAAAGGATTCCACTTGGGACGCTTTTGAATAAAACATTTTACTATAATGTATTTGATTTACTGTAGGTCTCTTTCTGTGTTTATCACAAGCTGTTTTTCTTGTAGCAGATGTACGTTCTCATTGTGTCAACTCATTGTGCCAAAAGATGATGTCATGGCAGACCCACTAACAGCCAGCAGATGGACACATTGAGTTTCATAAATAAGACTCGGGATAGTGAGGGGTGGCTTCGCTTTCCAAAAAGTGTTTTTGCTTCCAGTATGTATTTGTGCACTCCACCTACTCCAAGTATGTTTGACGTAGTTATTTTCTCCATTAATTTCTCTCATTCTGGGCCTCTTGTTAAACATGTGCTGTTAAATGTTTCAAACTTTAGTCTTCCCTTAACCTCTCTTCTCATCCACCCAAATGCTCACTTATGCTTACATTTTTTTTATCCATATGTAGCAATCGAAGCAATCTTTCTAAAACACGCTTTATACTAATAACTTAAAGCACCAGAAAATGTGGTGTTGTTTCTAAAAATGTTTCTAAATTACTAAGTTTAAGAAAAAATCAAAGCTTGCAGAAAAATGCATACTAGGTGTTTATTATTTTATTAACATTAAGAAATGTAGCACATCACCACCAACCCCACACTGAATTTTAATTCAAATGTTGTTAATCCTGATGGGTGCTGCCTCACTTTTTTCCAACTGATTCCCAACCAGTTAAAAAAAGAGAAGTCAAAATTAAAACTTCCTCTGTGAAGCAAACCAAAACAGTTTGAGCTCAGCACAGTCACAGTAAGAAGCTGATAATAGGTTTTCTGGGCCTTTAAGACAGTCACATTTTTAAGTTAGCTACTGACTTTTCACAAAATTTCACTCAAGGAATGAAATTGTGAAGACAAACTTGTCCAAAGCATTTTATCTTTCAGATTATCAAAGGACTGATCAAGCTGCTGATTATCGTGGAATCTCTCCACAGTGGCCTCTGGAGATACACGAGAAATCCAAATAAAGCTAATTAGATCGCAACCTCAGCTGCTGATAAATTGTTGCTGGGGGTTTTGAGTCACCTCTGGGGTTCCCCCCAGTTACCTGCTAAAAGAGCAAGAGGGTCCTCACAATTCCTTGGATGAAAAGGAGCGTATATTTATTTCGTGCTGGCTCCTCAGCCAGCTGGAGAATTCTCTGGCACCCTGGAGAGGCTGTGCTGGTCAGCCAAGCCAAACTCCCACACACTACTACTGTACACAGTCAACTGAGAGGGAGGAGTGAGTCTGTGCTGTTAACATCTTCTAGTTTCAGCTGACTTCATTAAATAGGCCAGAATGATGCTCTGAAGATAGTTCACAGCTTAATGGGGCTGGAAATATTTTAATTATGCAGGTGTGCAGTCTGTACTGTGGACCTTGCATTTGATTTGAAAGTTCAGGGTGATGAAATGCTTTTTTTGACTCAGGTAGTTACAGTAGTTAGATATTTTTCAAGTCATGTTCAGTAAATGATTATACAACATGAATAAAGCGTTAACAAGTGAAAATGCAGCCTCTGCTCTGGCATTGTCCACGCTGCAGCCTGTTTTCCAATCTGGCCACTCTCTTTGCTCCGCTGTCCATCAATCATTTTCCTACAAGATTTCTACTGCCTGTGCCTCAATATGTGAAATTACACAATAACGTTATTTTTACAGTTATACACTGCATCACAATACGCTGTCTGCTGCTATAGAGCAACCTACCCTCCCTGCAGGCCATGAAGCCAAGAGAAACAACGGTCTGATTCATGGGTTCACAAGCAAATTCTATTCTATTCTCAGCAGTGCTGTGGTCTTTCACCGTAATACCATACTTAGTCTGTGAAGATAATGCTGTTGGAGTGCAAATGGAGTTTTTTCTATTAATGGATGGCTCGGAAAGTGGGTGGTATGAGAAAGAAGGATTTGGATAATAAAACTGCCATGGTGTATACAATCATCTTCTAAACTGAAGTGTTCATCCCCTCCTGTGCTTGTACTTGTGCTAGTTAATGGGTAGAAAGACACACACACACACACACACACATTTAAATGCATTACGTCCATTGATTGTTTCATGTCCTGTAAAGATGAATAAGTTATCGGTTTTGAACATGAACCCCCCCCCTTCCCCACGTCTCTCTGTGATTTCAATCTTTTTTCTAGTGCTGTGAAGTGTTTTTGTAGTGAATGGGAATGCATTTACTTCTCTGATTGGTATCTATTATAAGTGATATTGCTTGTCCAAGTCAGAATGTACTGAAAGTTGCAATAAATGATTGTTTTACCCACTTGGGGGCAGCGGAAACAAGTTGTGAACACAACATTGACATATAATCACCTTCTAAGTTGTTATCAAGCAACTTATTTACGCATTCAGCAGTTATGGAGCAAACCACCAACTCCTGAGGGAAATATCTGGCTCTGTAGCTGCTAAATGCTCCATTACATTCACCAACTAGTCACCAACTGTGTCTGTCTGTGTTTGGTGCTGAGCAGTTAGGTTTTTAGGGCTTTTTTCTGAAAACAGCTGTCTGCTGAAACCGGAAACAAAGCCATGTTTCCAGTAAAAACAGTAAAGTTGTGGGCCAAACACCCAAACAATGAGCTGAAACTTGTTATAAAGCTCTGTAAAGTTGTGAGGAGGTGCAGATTTGGGTGATCATTTTCTGTATATTCATCACCCCATGGTCACATTGTTTTCACATTGTCATTTGATACATCGTTATTGTAGAAATGTAGCCTGGCATCAAAAGACTATTCGCATTTGGAACCTCTAATTGTCAAGGGGCGTTATCAACAGGGGCAGACCATAATGCCTCTGGATGCAACTGGATAGACCTACAACCAACCAGAGCAATGAAACTTGTGATGTAGTGTACATTAAATTGACCAAATCCTGTCAGAAGTAGGTGCTTTAAGTGCAGATGTTTGTTTATTACTGATGTGACAATGGATTCGACAGAATCAGTTCCACACAGTGGCAGTCATCTTAGTTGTTTACCGAAATGGCCAACAAGGTTGCGCCCCTCTGTACAATCATCGTATAAAACCCACACCATATTAGATAAATAGTTTTGATTGGCTAATGGAAGTCTGTTTGAATGGGATGGTGGCCAGACATCTACTAGAGCAGTAGTTCCCAAGCTGGGTGTGGCCAAAACTTCAGGGAGGTAGCGAGGCTTTCTTGATTTTAGGAGGTGTAAGACATTTTAAACCAATACGAGACAATACACACAGTGGGCCTATAT